CCCAGCCCTTTGTTATTTTTTTTAAATTTTGAGACAAAGTCTCATTAGGTCACTTGAATTACCCAGGCTGAGCATCCTCCTGCCTCAGCCTCCCAAGTGCTGGGATTACAGGTGTGCACCACCACATCCGGCTTTATCGGGATATAATTTATGAACCATAAAATTCATCCGTTTCAAGTGCACAATTCTGTGATTTTTAGGATATTTACAGAGTTGTGCAACCATCATCGCAATCTAATTTTAGAACATTCTCATCACCCCCAAAAAGAAATCTCTGAAGGATGCAGAGTGCCCAGTAGAGCCTGGCCCACAGCCAGCCAGCCATCCCTGCTGGCCACCGTGGTCACTGTTCGCAAGGTTATCCCCGGGTGTCCTAATGGTGGCTAGTTTCATTTTTTAAATGCTTTATGTATCTTCTGAATTTTTTTTTTTCAAATGGAGACCATGATGATTTTTTTAGTTAGTGAAATCAGGAGAAATATTTCCATTTTGAAAATATGAAGTCATCAACACTTGGGAGGGAAGGAGGAGGGGAGGGGAGAAAGGAAGAGGGAAAGAGGGAAGTAGGAAGAGGAAAGGTAATAGGTCCTCTTTATGGGGAAAATGGTTGCTGTGGAGTGAGTCCTGCCCATCACCAGCTTGCACTCTGACCTTGCACTCTTCCTCTTTTGTGCCTCAGTTTCCCCTGAGGCTGAGGGTGGAGAGTTGTCAGAGCTCGTCTTGCAACCATTTTGAGTCAGCAGGTTTGCGCTGTAGGCTCTGTCCGAAGCCTGGAACATGAAGGAAAGCCGGGCGTGCTGGTGCACGCTTGTAATCCCAGCGCCTGGGAGGCTGAGACGGAAGGATCTCTGGGAGTTCGAGGCCAGCCTGGGCTACATAGCAAGACCCTGTATCAAAAAAAACTGAAAAAAAAGGAGGAGGGGAAGGGAGTGGGAGGAGGGAGGAGGAAGAGGAGGAGACCAAGGCTAAGGCCAGACTGGCCCTGCCGTGTTCAAACCTCAGCTTGAAATTCGTGAGCTGTGACCTGGGCCTTCTCGGGATTCCTGGGGCCTCCTGGGGCCTCCTGGGGCAGCGGGAACAGAGAGGGACTTGTTGCTGGAGCAGCCTCACCTCCGCCCACTGTATGTTTTGGCCCACCCACTCCCTGGCCCTCACCCCAGCTCCCTGCTCCAGAGAGCCTGGAGCCCCTGTTCTCCACTTTGAGGTCCCGATTTGGCCTGAAACATCCTGGTCCACCCGCTGCTGTTCCGTCCAGCCGCCTGCAAACCCACAGGGTCCCCTCCCGGGGGGTCCAGCCTGGGTCTCCAGCATACTCCAGTTCTCATTTGCCGGATCCGTTTGTTCAGGCACTGACTCTGAGGAGCCTCCCGGCAGTCCATTTCACTGTGGAAACTGAGGTCGGAACGGATGGTCATCCGTTCACAGTCGCCTCCTCCCGAGTGATGGCTTTGACGTTCAAGCCCGGCCTGTTGGATCTCAGAGCTCAGAAAGCAGGAAACGTAAAAAGGACCACCAAGCTAGATGCGCTAGCATAGGCCTGTCATCCCAGCACTCTAGGAGGCTGAGGCAGAAAGATTGCAATTTTGAGCCCTGTCTGGACAGCTTAGCTAGACCCTATGTCAAAATTTTAAAAACCTTTAAAGGGCTGGGGCTACAGCTCAGTGTGAAGGCCCTGGGCACAGTCCCCAGCACCCTCAGGCACACACCAAACAGGCATCTCTTTCCTGGTATCATTTGCGTCCAACAGGGCAGGGAACCAGCGTCCCCAAGATCTGGCCCCTAATGATGAGGGTCGGGACAGCCCTGGGGGTGGCGGTGCCAGTTTAGATGGAGCAGGTAGCCTCTGGGAGGTGTTGACTTAGCCCTCTCTGTGCTCAGGTTGGAAGGTGGCTCTGCAGATGGCGAGGCACCGTGTCCCTGGGAAGCCACCATCTGCTCAGAGTGCGTGGGACGAGCTGGCAGGGCCACCACCACACCCCCACGCTGGGCGCAGCGCTCGGCCACCAGGGCTGGTGAGCCTGGCACGCTCTCTCTGGGCACCCACTCTCCCCTCGCTCAGCCTCATCAGGGGCTGGGCAGGGGGGCAGGGGTGGCACCGGCTGGAGGCCAGATCAGCCAAGTCTCCCTGGGGACCTATTTCCCGCTACAGAGCACCGAGCCGGGCAGTGTCCGGGTGGGAAGGAAACGCCGTGTCCATCCCTCCCGGCACTGCTGGAGCACCTACTGTGTTCCAGGCTCACGGTCTAGACACAGAGGCCTGCTGTCCTGTCCACCGTCTGTCCAAGTGTGGGCTCCAGCCTCGTGGGTGCCAGTCCCATCTCGGCCACCCGTCGCATTGCTGTGTGTCCTTGTGCTGCCTGCCTGATCTGGGCCTTCGACTCGCCTTCTTCTGTGTGTGCGTTTTTTGTGTTTTGTTTGTATATTTTATGTTTTAAGACAAGATCTCACTGTATAGCCCGGGTTGGCCTCAAACTCACAGCAATCCTCCTGCCTCAGCCTCCCAATGCTAGGATTATGGGCATGTACCACCAGGCCCGCTGCCCAGCTCATTCTGAGAACCTGGGTCCTGGGACAGTGCTGCACCTTCCAGCCTGGAACGCCATGCCCACCCTGGCCCCAGGAGAGCCTGCTCTGAGGACTCTACCCCCAGGCATGGCCCTGCTCTGCAATCTCTGCCACCCCTCAGCTTCTCCTTGAAGCAGCCCAGGGGGTGTCCTGACTTGGGGCAGGCTGGCCCAGGCCCTGACCACCCGTCCCCGCTCCTGGGTCCTAGGTTCCCTACCCGCTGAGTGGCATCTCCAGCCCACCAGAGCCGGTGGACCATCTGCTCAGGGGGAGGCCTGCAGGGAAGGTCCACGTCTGTGCGTGGGGGCTCTCCGTGGGGAGTCCTACCCTTCTCAGCCCCTCCTGCAGTTTCCATGGCAACAACAGTTGCCATGGTATTGCCGGGCAAGGAACTGGTGGGGAAAAGGGTGGACTCCAGGCCTCCACACCCACTTCAGCCCCTGGCGGAGTGTATGTCCTATCTCCACAGCCCTGGGGGACCCTCAAAACTGAGGGACCAGTCCCCCAAAGAGCCACTGAGTAAAGGATGGGGGAGAGAGGCAGGAAGTCCCCCATCCAGCGACTCCCTCCCTCCCTGTGCTGCGCGGCCACCCCCAGCTCATGCCACACGGCATCACGGTATCTGTTTACTTGCCTGTCTCTCCCTCCACACTGCAAGCAAGCACCTCGGGTGGGGAGCGGGATGACTCATCATCTCCCGTCCTGGGCCCAGCACAGGGCCTGGCACAGCCCTGATTTCACTGAATTACATAAAAAGGCAAGTCTGAGACGGGCATGGTCGTGCACGCCTGTAATCCCAGCACTCCAGAGGCTGAGGCAAGAGGATTGCAGTGAGTTTGAGGGCAGCCTAGGCTTCAAAGTGACTTCAAGGCCAGCCTGTACTACAAGAAGGCCCTGTCTCCAAAAAAACGGCAAGTCTGGCTCCTCGGGGCTGGGGGGCAGCACAATCGGATAGGGGAGCTTCCGAGCTGCAGGTCCAGCAGGCTCCGTGTTTGAATCTCATTTCTCGGACTGGAGGGGTAGCTCAGCACTTGCTTAGCCTGTGTGAGACCCTAGGTTCAAATCCCAACAGCGCAACATAGCAGCCAGGCATGGTGGCACATGCCTGTAACCCCAGCACTCAGGATCCTGAGGCAGGAGGATGCAAGTCCAGTCTGGACAATTTAGTGAGACTGTGTCTCAGAATAAAAAAGGGCTGGGGATGTGGCGCAGTGCAGAGGCCCTGGCTTCAGTCCCCAGCACTTGCCTGGCACTAGCAGTGATAAATAAATGCAGCAGCAGCCTCTGTTGTCCCAAGATGACACACAGGAGGCCTGCAACCTGGGAACCCTGGGCCTGCCTGCTGTCCCTAGAACTTTACCATCAAACTGGTGTGAGGACACTTTGTCAGTCTGAGTCCGGTCCTGGGTTCAGGCTGGGAGGCCTGGGCTCTGGCTTTGGCTTTGAACCCAGGCTGAAGCTGAGCATCTGTCCCCCACCCTGGGTCTCTGCAGAGGTGGCTGCCCGGATTTCTGGCCCACTTCCCCTTTCCTGGATCCCAGGGATCCCATGACTGCTGACTCTGACAGCCTGGTTTCTGGAGAGGCCTCCACCCTCAAGCTAGCCTGCTGGGGGAGGGGGGTGGCAAAAGAGCTGTCAAGACAGAAACTGGCATCCTGAGTAGTCCGCTGAAGCCCAGTGTGGTGGTGCACACCTGGAATCCCAACACTGTGGGAGGCTGAGGCAGGAGGATTGCAAATTCAAGCCAGCATGGCAATTTAGTGACTTAGCAAGACCCTGTCTCAAAAATTTAAAAAAAAAAAAAAAAAAAAAATTAATGGCTGGGAGCTCAGTGTGAAGGCCTTCAGAGGGAGCTGGGTACATGGAAGGCTGATGACAGGAACCTCGAAGTACAGAGAACAGATCTGAGCCCAGGGACTACTGTGCAGGAGAGACAGCTCTGAGCCTCAGTTTTCTCCTCTGTAAAATGGAGTCACATCAGCACCTTCCTCCAGGGACGCCATCGGGTCTGTGAGTTGCACCCTCCTAGAGTGGCTGGCATGCAGTAGGCATTTGGGAAGCCTGACTTCGGTCCCTTGCTTCCGCCTCCTGCATCTGCGCCTGGGGAAGAGAAGTGAGAGGCTGCCCTCCCCACGGCGGAAGGAAGGGAAGGCCATGCAGCACCACTTCCTGGCAAGCACTCTGGCCGCTGGACACTTAGGCACGTGGGCCACCCTGTGCCTCAGTTTCTCCAGACTGCATGCCAGGGGCTGCGGTGCGGCAGGGACTTCCTGGTTGGCTCAGAACCAACACAGGCATATCTGAGAGGTGGCTAGGGAGCCACTGGCCTGGGCTGTGGGATGCATAAATTCGGTGACCCAGGGGATTGGATCCCCCAGGGCAGGACAGGAACTGCTGGGTCATGGCAGCTCCTTCCGATCTTGACCTTCCTCTGATGCCCCACTCACTGCAGGGACTTCTTGCCCCGCGGATCTGGCATTGTCACCCGACGCCCCCTGGTCCTGCAGCTGGTCAATGCTACCACAGGTACGTGCCCGCGATGGCAGCCAGGCCCGGCCTCTCCAGCCCGCCGGCCCTTTCCCAGGCTGCTTGCTGAGATCCTTTCCGCCAGTCTCCCCATCTGGCAAGGGAGACGTGGGCTGTTGTGTTTGGAGAAGGGGGCGTCTATTGTCGGTGGGACATGGGGCCCAGGTGGGGTTTTGCGATGCCTACTCCCCTTCCTCTGCCTGCTTCTGGGCAGAATATGCCGAGTTCCTGCACTGCAAGGGGAAGAAATTCACCGACTTCGAGGAGGTACGCCTGGAGATCGAGGCGGAGACCGACCGGGTCACCGGCACCAACAAGGGCATCTCGCCAGTGCCCATCAACCTGCGGGTTTACTCGCCACACGGTGAGACTTCGCCCCACCCTCTCGGCTAATTTGCATAGTCACGCCCCCTGGATAATATCCGGTCCCACCCCTCCTCGGGTCCTTATTCTGCGCGGCCCCTCCCTTCAGACTTTGCCCCTACAGGGACACACCTCTGCACTTTCCTGCCCTAAGCCCCACCCTCCAGTGGCTCCGCCCACCTATAGCCACGCCCCCAATAAGCTGCTGTTTCAGCCCCGTGGATTTTCCTAACCCCTGTCCAGTGCTAAACCTGACCCTGGTGGACCTGCCCGGGATGACCAAGGTCCCCGTGGGGGACCAGCCTCCCGACATCGAGTTCCAGATCCGAGACATGCTTATGCAGTTCGTCACCAAGGAGAACTGCCTCATCTTGGCCGTATCCCCTGCCAACTCTGACCTGGCCAACTCAGATGCCCTCAAGGTCGCCAAGGAGGTGGACCCGCAGGGTAAGTTTCCACCAGCGGCCGGGGAGCAGTGTATTTTTATTTGGGGGGAGCTTCTAGAGAGATAAGTAGAAGAGTTGCTAGATCCCATTTATGCCTTTAAAAATCATTTTGTAGCTGGATGTGGTGGTGCATGTCTCTCGTCCCAGCATCTGGGAGGCTGAGGCAGAAGAGTCACAAATTCGAGCCCAACCTGAACAACTTAGCAAGGCTTTGTCTCAGCATTTAGATTGAGGAAGGACCTGGAGAGGCAGTTCAGTGCAAAGGCCCTGGGTTCAATTCCCAGTATTGAAAAAAAATTATTTTGGCCACCCTGGAATGTGAAAAGGGGGTCAGCCAGGACTAGGCGGGGATGGGTAGGAGATATAGAGAGCAGGGTCGGGGGTACAGGGGTACCTGGGTCCCCTGTGTGAGCCCTCCTGCGGCCCACCCCCAGGTCAGCGCACCATTGGGGTCATCACCAAGCTGGACCTTATGGACGAGGGCACGGATGCCCGTGACGTGCTGGAGAACAAACTGCTCCCCCTGCGCAGAGGTGGGCAGACCGCACCCCTCCCAGCTCCCCTGCCCCGCCCCTCCCCGCTCCCCGAAAGCCAGCACCCTTGACCTTGACTCTACCCGAAGGCTACATTGGGGTGGTGAACCGGAGCCAGAAGGACATAGACGGCAAGAAAGACATCACGGCTGCCCTGGCTGCCGAGCGCAAGTTCTTCCTATCCCACCCATCCTACCGCCACCTGGCTGACCGTATGGGGACGCCCTACCTGCAGAAGGTCCTCAACCAGGTAGGGGGGCAGGCGGGACAGGGCCTGGGGAGCCCACCTGAGAGTAGGACAGAGTGAGCATGTGCAGTGGGGGCTGGGAGAGGAGAGCGGGCCCATCCCACCAGCACACTGACACCCAAAAAAGCAAAGCAGCTCGCCACCGTCCCACAGGGAGGCGGAGCAGAGCTTGGCTGGCCTTTACCTGCCCGGGACCTGCAAGGGGAACCCTGTCCTGCAGGACCTTGGGTGGAGGGTGGGGTTTGTGGCCAGGATGGGAGGGCAGCTGACTGGAGACCTCAGTTTCCCCCGCGATGGAGGCACTGGGCTGGAGACCACGCCATCCTGCCCAGGGTTTTCCCTTAGGTGTTTCTCCATCTGGAATGGGGCTTCCACAATGTACGTGAGCCAGGCACAGTGCCACACACCCATGGTCCCAGCACTCGGGAGGCTGAGGAGGGAGGATCACAGGTTTGAGTTTGAGGCCAGCCCGGGCTACATAGCAAGTTCAAAGCCAGCCTGAACTATACAAGAAGACCTGTGTCAAAACAAATAAGACAATCATAAGAGAAAGGTGGTGGGGAGTACCACAGATCTGGGTTCATACCCCAGCCTCATTATTCTCCCACTCTCCAACTCCCTGAGCCTCTATTTCTGCATCTGTAGAATGGGCATCATGGTGACCAGACTGTCCTTCAAAGGGTCATCATGAAGATTCAGGGAGATACACTAGAGGAGGCCCTAGCAAAACAGAAAGAATTACCTCACAGAAGGTCCGAAACCCAGAAGGCACAAGAGAGCAGCCCTGGGCACTGCCGCCCCAGACACATTTGGCTTACCCTTTACAGTATTAGAAGATACTAAGTTAGTGAAAGTTAGGTACTTCAGCCTGGGACAGTGGCACACACTATAACCCCATCTACTCAGGAGATTGAAACCGGAAGATCACAGCTTGGAGGCCAATCTAGTGGCACTGTAGTGAGACCTCATATCAAAATAAAAATTTTTGAGAAAGGGCTGGGGATATAGCTTAATGGTAGAGTGCTCTTGGCTTCCATCCCCAGCCCCCCCAGATGATGGTGATGATGGTGATGATGATGGTGATAGTGATGGTGATAATAATGATTCTAAAAATCAGGTAATTTCAAATATAAATTAAGGGCTCTGGCTTATGTTGAAAACTGAGGGGTTTTTTGTTTTGGGGGATTTTTTTGTTTTGTTTTGCTTTTTGTCTTTTTGAGACAGGGTTTTGCTCTGCAGTTCAGGTTGGCCTTGAACTCACTTTGTAGCCCAGGCTGGACTCGAACCCACAGCAATCATCCTGCCTCAGCCTTCTGAGTGCTGGGATTACAGGCATGCACCACCACATCCAGCTGAGATATTATTATTGTTATTATTATTATCATTTTTCTAAAAATCAGGTAATTTCAAATATAAATTCAGATTTCTGGCTTATGTTGAGAACCGAATTACATGCTTCCTAAGTCAAATAGCATACCTCTGAGTACCAGCCGGCAGCCCCCTGGCATCCGCTCCTGCCTGGTGCTGTCACATCTGGATTTGTATCTGTAGCCTTAACCCTTTCCTCACCCGCATCCCAGCAACTGACAAACCACATCCGGGACACACTGCCGGGGCTGCGGAACAAGCTGCAGAGCCAGCTGCTGTCCATTGAGAAGGAGGTGGAAGAGTACAAGAACTTCCGCCCTGATGACCCAGCGCGCAAGACCAAGGCCCTGCTGCAGTGAGGCCCCCGGCCCCCCACACCCATTGCTTAGCCGCCCGCTCCCCAGCCTCTCGGCTCCCTCAGCCCGCCCCACTCTCCCGGCAGGATGGTGCAGCAGTTCGCGGTGGACTTTGAGAAACGCATCGAGGGCTCCGGAGACCAGATCGACACCTACGAACTGTCTGGGGGAGCCCGCATTAACCGGATCTTTCACGAGCGCTTCCCCTTTGAGCTGGTCAAGGTAGGGCGGGCAGCCCCAGGGCCATCCTGAGCCCCTGTCCCTCCCAGGATTCTTGGATGTGCGCCTCCGCTGAGCCCCAGGAATGGCGTGAGCCCTTCATCACCTCCCCGGCCTCAAAGAAGGCCCCGACCGTCTTTCTGTGTCCACTCTCCTTGTAGATGGAGTTTGATGAGAAGGAGCTCCGACGAGAGATCAGCTACGCCATCAAGAACATCCATGGCATTAGGCACGTACTGGGGCTGGGGAGCGGGCTGAACCCCAGAAGCCAGGGAGTCTATGCCAAGGCACAGGGAGGAATGAAGTGGGGCTCCCTTGGGAAGGGCCCCAGAATCCTGGTCCCCAACTTCCCAGCTCCCAGCTCAGTAGGCCCCAGCCAGGGGAGGTGGGTGGGAGGCCTGGGCTACCCGCTTCCCTGCAGCCCACTGCCCGCCTCTGCTGCCTCTGGGAGCAGGATCCCCTGGTCAGACACCTCTGCCCATGCCACTGGGCAGACACCAAGGCGGGGGCCCGCCTTGACAGTGGGAGCCTCTCTACCCGCAGACCCTCCCCCAAGCCAGCCCATTCTACCCACCTTCCTCTCCGGCCGCCCAAGGCCCACAGGGCAGGAAGGGTTGGGAGACGGACAGACCGTGCTCCTTCAAAGCTTAGGCCCCCCTCTTCAGGGACCCCGATCTGCACTGTGCTCGTTCAATAAATGCAATCAGCAGAAAAAAAAAATTGAAGCACCTACTATGCACGAGGCAGTGACTGAGACCCTAATGACCCTGCATTCATGCAGGCTGTATTCCAAGCTTTGGCATGGAATTTAGACACCAGTATCTGCATTGGTGAAGACGCAGGGAAACGTCTACTGAGTCTTATATGAAAAGCTCTATTCCTAGAAAGGCTCTCAAGGAGAACTTGGTTTGGCCATTTCTGAACCATCTGGGCCAGAGAACCTTTTGTGGGGACACACAGGAAGCAGGACAGGCCGGGGAGAAAGCTCAGCGGCACAGTGCCTGCCTGGCAAGCACAAGGTCCTGAGTTTGGTACCAAGATTCCCAGTACAAAAAAAAAAAAAAGGAAGCAGGACAGAGATCACAGACACATGTAGACCTTGTCTGGCTCCATAAGGCATCAGTGGGAACCCCCACCTTACCACCCCCTGCCCATTTGACAGATAGGGACACTGAGGCCCAGAGAGGGTAGTAGGGCTCTTCCAGGCACAGCTCAGGGGTCTGGGGAGGGGCCTGGCCTGGCACTTGTGGCAGGCACTGGCTTGTGACACTCTGCCCTTCTCCCGCTCTGGGCATTCAGAACGGGGCTGTTTACCCCAGACATGGCCTTTGAGACCATTGTGAAAAAGCAGGTGAAGAAGATCCGAGAACCGTGTCTCAAGTGTGTGGACATGGTTATCTCGGAGCTAATCAGCACCGTTAGACAGTGCACCAAGAAGGTAACCGCCGGCCGGCAGCCCGCCTCCACCCCGCCGTGCACTGCTGCCAGGCGCTCCCCCTCCACACCCCACACCCCCTTGTCCCCACTGCCTCCGCGGCAGCATGTACAGACCCCAGCGGGGTGGGGGAGGCGAGGGGGGCCCACCCCGGCCCTGCGGACCACAGGTTGGACACTGGGGAGACAGGAGTGGTGGCTGGACATTGGCCCAGAGAGAGCACCATGATCTAACGCAGTTCAGAGAGAGCAGGGCTTGGGGACCGTGCCGCACCCCCTCCCCGCATAGAAGTGGGTCCTCTTGAGGTCTCCGATGGGGTGGGGGTTCCTGGGGAAACCTTGGCTGGAGACAGGTGAGGTACAGGGCCTCCTTGGGCGTGGCACTGGGGACCTGGGTGCCAGAAGGGTACAGAGGCTCCAGGACTAGTGGGTGCTGTGACCCCGCTGTCCTCCATCCCCCATTGTCACCCACCTTCACTCAGGCCCCTCGCTCAGGCCTCCGCTTCCATCCACATCCAGCCCTCCAGGGACAGAGCTCTCTCCCTTGTGCTGCGTTGTCCGAGGCTCCAGGGTCCCATAGGAGGCCAGGGAGGGGAGGGGCGCCCATCTCACAGAGAGAGCTGAGGCTTCCCGGTGCCAGAGCTGTTCGTGGGAGCCAGAGCGCGGGACTCCCCAGTCCAGGACTCGCTGATCCACCCCCAGCCTCCCTCCCTCTTCTGCCCCACTGCTGCCCCAGCCCGCCTCTATCACCACCGCCACTCTCTCTGTTTTCCCACTTCTCTCTCGCTGTCTTCTGGAGCTGAGTTCCACCAGAGCCCTTTGGGGCAAAGGCAAGGGATGCCCTTGGGAAGAAAGGCAGGGCAGGAGAAGGGCAGGGAGCTGGATGGAGTATGGAGGCCAGACTTCTTGCTGAAGCTCCGGGAGGCCTCCAGAGGGCCATGGGCACCATAGTCCGAAAGTGGAGCCCCTGGAGTTGCTCAGTGCACAGCCTGAGCACCTAGACGCGGCAGCCCTGGCGGAGGTAGGGAACAGTTGTGGAGTCAGGATGAAGCCAGTGCAGGGGTCACAGGAAAACCCAGAACTGAACCGGATGGTAGGCAGGGTTCTGGCCTTGTTCTGGCCTGGGTCAGCTCCTTAGGAAGACCCAAGGTGTAGACAAAAACAGGTCAGGCAAGAGAAGTGTGAGGGGCTTAGCATAGCCGGAGGAGGGGAGGGCAGCCCTGGGGTGCAGGGCTGAAGCTCAGCGGGATCTTGTACTTGTGGAGCAGGGGCCTGGGCCCCGAGTCCCCTGGCCATGCCGCACCTGGGAGGTGCGGCCCGGGCGGCGGCAGGGAGGGCAGGGCCCCGCGCTCACGTTGTCTTCTGTTCTCTTTCTCTGTGTCGGTGTCTCTTCCCCATGCCTGTGCCATCCTGCCCATCCCCGGAGCCCGGCCCGCTTGGCTTCCACTCCCCTTCTTCTCCCCACCCGCCCAGCCGCTCCCCCTCGCCCCCCTCCGCTCCTCTCCCTCCTCCTCCTCCTCCTCCTCCTCCTCCTCCTCCTCCTCGTCCTCCCTGGGTGCAGGACGGGCCTCTTCACACCTGACCTCGCTTTTGAAGCCACAGTGAAAAAGCAGGTGCAGAAGCTCAAAGAGCCCAGTATCAAGTGTGTGGATATGGTAGTCAGTGAGCTCACGGCCACCATCAGAAAGTGTAGCGAAAAGGTACGGCGGCCGCCTGGGCGGGGCTGGGCCCAGCCGTCCCTTCCTCCTGGCCTTGGCCTCCCGGGGGCAGAGCCATCTGCTGAGCAGACCTGGCAGCCTCTGAGCCCCACAGGGACAAGACACCCTCACATGCTGGCCCCTGGCTGGCCTGATGTTTCCTGCCAGCTTGTAACCCTGGGTCTCCTAGCCCTTGTGGTCCCTCCAGGCCCTGTCCCTGCCAGACGACTTGGCTCTAATTTGAGCTTCCTCAGCAGTCTCCCCTTCCATCAGTAAGAATGACAATGACAGGTGTGGTGATGCACACCTGTAATCCTAGCACTCGGGAGGCTGAGGCAGGAGGAGGATTGCACTGAGTTTGAGGCCAGCCTGGACTACATAGCAAAACCCTGTCTCAAAAAATCAACCAAACAAAAAGAATGGCAGATCTGGCATGGTGGCACATGACTGTAATCCCAGCACTTGGGGGGCTGAGACAGGAGGATCACTGCAAGTTGGAGACCAGCCTGGGCTACAAAGTGAGCTCAATGCCAGCCTGAACTGCATAGTGAGTTCCTATCTCAAAAAGACAAAAAAAAAAAAAAGATAATGACAATACTGATAGGAGATGGCTGCTGTCCATTGAGCAGCTACTATGATACAAGCACCAGGGTAAGTGCTTGCCCTGACCACCTGGCTTAATTCCCTCAACATCCCTCAGAAGCGGGTGGTAGCCATATGTCCATTTGACAGATGACCAGACTCTGAAAGGAAAAGCAGATTTAGGAAGGGGTCTGGCCGGGGATATAGCTCAGTGGCATAAGCACCTGCCTGGCAAGTGCAAGGTCCTGAGTTTGATTCCCAGTACCAAAAAAAAAAAAAAAATAGGAAGGTGTCTGAGGTCAGGGCCTCCTGAGGAGGGGGAGACATCAAAACCAATTTGCCTAAAAGCAATTAGGCAGCTCCACACAGTGATCCATGTACATTAGGAAGGCCAGCCTCTTTTGAGTTGCCTGTGACCTTTTAGATGCCTTTTTCCTGTTTATCTGTTTTTGGGGTATTTTGAGGATTTTCAGCCAGTCACCCAGTGCAGTTTTTTATTTCCCCCCCCCCGGGTGTGTAAGGGAATCCCCTGGCTACAGGAGCTTCTCCAGAATCCAGATACAGCCCCCCAGCTCCAGTCTCACCAGTGTTTGAAACTCCAGCCCCAGTACTGTGGGGTGGTGCACGATGATATCACCCAGGCCCTTTTCTGCTGGGTGCTGTGCCGTGGAACCCTCATACACTGCCACAGAGACAGGGGTCCCAGGCCTTTCACTGCGGGACTCGTGCTGTCCCATTTTCAGGGCGGCGCCATTCTTGTTCTGGATTAACTTCCTGTATTTCTCCCAATCTTTTCTTTTCCTTCCTTTTTTTTTGAGACAGTATCCCATTGTAGTTCAGGCTGGCCTTGAACTTGCAGTGATCCTGAAATCCTGATCCTTTTGCCTCATCCTCCCTAGTGCTATGATTATGAATGCGTGTTACCACACCCAACCAGCTTCCCTTCTTTCTTTCTTTCTGATGTGGTACTACAGATTGAACCCAGAGTCTGACCCTACAAATGTTCTACCACTGAACTATGTCAGCCTTTTCTTTTTTTAATCTTGAGACTGGGTCTTGATAGGCATCGTAGCCTGGCCTTGAACTCTTGATCCTCCTGCCTCAGCTTTCCCAATAACTAGATTACAGGCATATGCCACCATATCTGCACCATATCTGACCAAATCTTGTTTGTTCTTTTTGTTTTTTGTTGTTGCTTTTTTTTGTTGTTTTTTTTCCAGTACTGGGAATCAAACTCATGACCTTGAGCTTGCCGTGTAGGCACTGTGCCACTGAGCTAAATCCCCAGCCCCTTTGTTTGTTCTTTTTAATATATATATATATACATTGGTTTGTTAGGTTATCATACTGTGAACATATTAGCATCCTGTTCTTTCTCTTTAAATAAGATGCATTGGAGAGGGGTCAATTATTATACAGTCTACATAAACATTTTTTTTGCGAGGGGGTACTGGGAATTGAACTTGGGACCTCGCACTTGCCAGGCAGGTGCTTGTGCGCTGAGCTATATCCCCAGCCCTACATAAACATTTTTAATGATTGCGTGAGTGTCTAAGAAATAGATTTAGTATTGTGGTTTACTTAACCATGTTTCTATTATTGAACATTTAAATAAATAGTTGTCAGTTTTTCAGGATTATGAATAAATAACCTGGCATTGAACATCGCTGTATATGAAGGTACAGTATTTTTCTTTCTCTAGGATTATTTTCTAAGGCTAGATTCCTAGAAAATTGATTACTAGATATAAACGTTTAAAAGCTGTAGAGCCAGACATAGTGGCACACACCTGTAATCCCAGCACTTGGGAGGCTGAGGCAGGATGATCATTGCAAGTTTGAGACCAGCCTGGGCTACAAAGTGAGCTCAAGTTCAGCCTGAACTGCACAGGGAGACCCTATGTCAAAAAAACTAAAATAAAATAAAATAGCTGTAGAACACTTAACTGAGTTCCAAAAGGAAAATAATAATTTTTGTCAAGGGTAAAATTTTGGAAACAACCCAGATATCCATCAAGAGGCGATCAATAATTCAGGTATAGTAGTGCATGCCTATAATCACAGCTGTCTGGGAGGCTGAGGCAGGAAGATTGAAAGTTTGAGCCCAGCCCGGGCAATTAAATGACTCAGCTAGGCCTTGTCTCAAAACAAAAACAAAAATAAAAAAGGACTAGGAATATAGCCAATGTGAAAGCTCTAGGCTCTGTCCCCCATGTTGGGGGCGGGGCTCAATAATATGTCAGGTATTATTATGTCGGGAGACTGAAGCTGTTAAGAGCACAAGACGTGTTTGTTTCTAGGCATGTGTCCCCCCACAATTTACTGTGAAAAAAAAAAAAACCCAGGTTTCAGAACAGAATGCATATGGTATTTTAGGAAAAAATAAATTGAATGGTAAAATTTCAAAGTCAAACCAGGTGTGGTGGCACATACCTGAAATCCCAGCTACTCAGGAGATTGAGGCAGGTAGATTACAAACTCTAGGCCAGACTGAACAATTTACCATGACTCTGTGTCAGATTTTACAAAAATAATAAGGGCAAAGGATGCAGCTCAGTAATGGAGCATTCGGGTTAATCCCCACTATCACACCAAACACAGACACACACACACACACACACACACACACATCCAAATTCACATTCACCAGTTGCTGAACTTTATTTTGAAAGAGGGCAAAGGGGCTGCAGGGTGACACACACCTGTAATTCCAGCACTTGGGAGGCTGAGACAGGAGGATCACCACAAGTTCTAGGCCAGCCTGGGCTACATAGTGAGATCAGGGACAGCCTGAACTACGTAGTGAGACCCTGTCTCTAAATAAATAAACAAATAAGGGCAAAGAACATAGGAATCTTTCCATTTCTACTTCACAAATTTTAGTCATATGTAAATCTTGTACAGTTATCTGTATGATTTTTATGAACAGAAAATTTGGTCAGCAAAAACTGACCAGGAAAACTTTGGTCTAAAAAGCAGGAAAAAAAGTGGGTGTGATGGTGCACATCTATAATCCCAGCACTCTGGAAGCTGAGGCAGGAAGATTGCCATGAGTTCGAGGCCTGCCTGAACTGCGTAGGGAGACCCTGATTCTAAATAAATAAATACATGGCAGGAAAGTAATATTTTTGCCATGATTTAATGAACAGTATTTTTTCTTAATAGCAAAACTCACCCTTTTTTTTTTTTAACCTCCACAAGTTCAAGCATAGCAAATCACTCCTGTGAGAAGTTTGATAAATGTTTAATTATACCCAGCCCTGCGGGGATTAGACTTTTCATCTCTGGATGAAATCTAAAACTTAAGGCGTATGGGGTTTGCTACTCAGTTATCTCGAGAACCCTAAGAGGGAAGTCACCATTTGGCACGTGGAGAAGTAGGCTCAATGAGATCTGGCCACCTTGCCAAAGAGAGCAGGCAGGCAGGGCTGGCTGCACAAACCCAGGGGGCCGGGCTCCAGGAACTGTGTCCCCAGCTGCCGAACCAGCAGGCTCCACTGGTTTAAAACGTTCCGTTTTCAAAACTGGCTAAAAGTCCCAGAAATGCTTCCAGGCAGCCAGAATGGAAAAAGATGCTCGAAGGGAACAGAACTCCTCAGAGGGGCTGAGGCTGCCCTGCCACGTGTGACGTGTGGAAAACTTGAGAAACATCCCATGCAGGCGGCTGGTGGGAGAACTGGTCATGCTCTTTGGCAAACTGCCCCCTCCTCCCTTCTTGTCACCCCACCCCAGCCCTGCCCTGGGAAAGAGCGTCAGGACCCCCTCAGAGGCCCCGGTGGCTGTGACTCAGTCCCTAATCTCTGCCCAGATCAGAGCCGGCCAGGAGTTGGGGCGGGGTCTCCTTTGAACATTAAGCCTTGGGGGACAGCAGGTCTATGGGGGCCCCTGGGCCAGCGTTTTCGAGCACCTGGTCTCAGGCAGGCCCTCCTCACGTCCCTGGTGCTGGCCTGCCCCAGGCATGCCCACGGCACAGCCACTCTCGTCGGCTGGCATGCGGGGCCCGGTTTCCTCCCCATCCTCCTGGCTCTCCCCACCCGCCAGCTCCTCGGCCCCCACCTTGCCCTCAGATGCACCCCGTGACCCAGGCCTGCTGCCCCTCAGCTCTGGTTCTCATCGGGGGGGCCTGACCCTGAGAGACCCTCAGAGAAGGGATAAGGAAGCTCAGTGTAGTGGCACGTGCCAGTGTCACAAGTTCAAGGCCAGCCTGAACTGCATAGTGAGACCCCATCTCAAAAAGACAAGGCGCTGCCCTCGCTCTCCCAGCCCAGGCTCACACAGGCAGGGACAGCAGGCCTGGAGGGCCCCGAGGCCGGGCTCTGCCGTCAAGGTTCAGTGCGTCTCCCTCCCTGAGGGCTGGAGACCCTGTACCCACCACCCGAGGACATCCATCCTTCATCCATCCTTCATCCCTTCAACATGCCTCTCTGAGTGCCAGGGTGTGCACAGCCCCCACCCCCACTGGGACGGCGTCTACCCAGTGGGGCCGGGGAGGTCCAGGCCTGGGAGGCGCCTGGCGCAGCTCTCCACACGGGCAGCGTTTGTGGAAGAGGCGGCAGCCCGCAGACGCAGCAGAGTCCATCACCTGGGCTTTGTCCGAGCCTGGCTGAGCCGAGCGCAGGGTTCACAGGGAAGGGTTTGAAGCACCTGGGGGGAGAGGTGCAGCCGAACTCCCACCCCAAGGAGCAGAGTGGAGACAGCTCAGAGCTGGGCGGAGGTGCAGGAGGGTGGTGTCAGTCAGGGGCATGGAAAGGGGGCAGGACCGGGTGGACCGTACCATCAGGGCCCAGCCAGGCCCCGCGGGGTACTGCTCATGCTGCTGGCACCCTCACTCCGCATGCCCCCGCCCCATGCCCTCGCATGCCTGTCCGTGGCTCCCGCATGTCCTCTGGTGTGATTGCTCCTTTTCCCGTGCAATGTCCCCGCACTCCCAGCTCTGACAAAGAGCATCGCCTGACCCCAGCCTTACTCAGGAGGCCCCCTGGCACCTCGGCCCTGCCCTCCCCAGCTTCCCCCGGGGAGGACTCTGGAGGCTGCCCGCGCCTGCTTCCCCGCCCAGCTCCCAGCCCTAGGCGGGCACAGGCAGCCCTGCCGGGCCCTGGGAGCCAGCGCCGTCCCACAGGCCTGTGCCACCCGCGGGTCCACGCTAAGACGGCGCCTAGAGGCTGGTTCCCGGTGATTCTCCCCACGGGCACCGCTCTTCCGGCCAAAGCTGCCCAGCCAAGCCTGAGAAGAGGGCCTGGAGCCAGGGAACCCTGCAAATTGCCATTTGGAACCCACACTTAGGGGAAAGGGGTGGCCAAGGCCTGGTGCTGTCAGCTTCCTGGGAGCCCAGGGCCCTCTTCCCTCCCGGCGGGCCTTCTGTGTGCGCCTCCTGCCCGCCCTGAACCGCGGGACTCGGGACTCTGGGGAGGGCCACCGCCCCTACCCGTGCCCCCCGTGTACGTGGCGCTCTCCCCTCCCGCCTCTCCCAGCTCCAGCAGTACCCGCGGCTGCGCGAAGAGATGGAGCGCATCGTCACCACCCACATCCGGGAGCGTGAGGGCCGCACCAAGGAGCAGGTGAGCCACCTCCCCTCCTTTGCTTGCGACGAGCCCTTCTGTCTGTCATCTGTCTGTCTGTCTGTGTTTTGAGACAGGGTCTTGCTTTATAGTTTAGACTTGTCTTGAACTCGCCATGTAGCCCAGGCTGGCTTCGAACTCACAACAATCCTCCTGCCTCAGCCTCGCAAGTGCTGGAATCACAGGCATGTGCCACCACATCTGGCCTTCTTCCTGTTTTGTCTCCATGGACTTAATCTTTCTCTTTCCCTTTTTTATGTTGGTAAAATACATGTAACAAAATGTACCACGTTAGACATTTTCAGGTGTACAATTGAGTGATATTGAGTACTTTCCAGTCGTGGTTTAGCCATCACCACCATTCATCACAGACCTCTTTTCATCTCTCAGGGCTGAAACTCAGACCCCATTAAACTAACTCACTGGCCCCTTCCATCCCAACAGCCTCCTTTCTCCTTTCTGTCTCCATGAATTTGTCTGCTATAGGTCCCTCATAGAAGTTAATCATACAGTATTTGTCTTCTGTGTCTAGCTCACTTCACTGATGTTGCCAGGGTTCCTCTGGATTTTTTTGTTGTTGTTGTTCTGAGAATTGAACTCAGGACCTTGCACTCACCAGGCAGGTGCTTGTGCTGCTGAGCTACATCCCCAGCCCTCATCTGGATTTTAGTGTGTGCCAGAATCTTCCTCCTTTTAACATGTGAATAATATTCCATTGAGCATACATAGTGTATTTTATCTATTCACGTGAATTGTTTCTACTTTCTGTAAAAGTGGATGTACAAGTATCTGTTCAAGTCCCTGCTTTCTTTGAATTTTTTAAAAAAATCTATACCTGGAGCACGCTGGGATTACAGGCACGCGCCACCACACCTGGCCTTATACCTGGACGTGAAAATGCTCATTCACATGGTAGTTCTATGATTTATGTTTTTTCTTTTCTTTTTCTTCTTTTTTTTTTTTTTCAGTACTAGAGATTGAACCTAGGGCCACTCTATCATGAATTACATTGCAACCCTTTTTTTTTTTTTTTTTTTTTTT